ATAAAGAATGATTTACTAAGGCTGAAGGGTTACACAAAGTATAAAATGCTATGGAGCAACACTAATTTGACTTTAGTTGCTATGATATGAACATGGAAGAGTGACCATGGAAGAGCGTAACAATGGAAGAGTGACCATGAAAGAGTGAATACGATTGTTTACCTATATATTGGCCTATCTAGATTTATATATTCACTGCATGTGGCATCTCAAACATATGTGTTTTTCAGTAATTTATAAAAAGTCGCAATAAAAAAGTCAAGTTTTTCTTTCCTGTACAAGGAAGTGAATCCAGGCCTCCGGGATGAAACCCAAAATAGTTAGACATTAGACCATATGTATGTAACCATATGTATCTATAAAATGCTCAAACTTGGCCCAGGTAGATATAGCCATATTTATAACTATACAAATAGAAATGTTTCTTATATCTGTGGATTAGTCTGCTGAAAATATGTCCCCCAGTACTATCACTGAACTCTGCTGAAGATGCCTGCCAGACTATCCCAGAATTCCAGAGATAGTTCATACTATTACTGTCCTTTTTATTTACAGTTTCCATAAAATGTACATGTCCAGAGAGATTAACAAAATATAGCATTCACACATAGGTTGGGTTATAGACAACGTGATATATACTTAGAAATATTAAAACATAAATGAGTAGAGAACCCTGCCTATTGCCTTTCCTTTAACCTAAGATTTTTAGTACTTTTTTTTTTTTTTTTTACAAAGTACTATGAAAATAGGCTTTTATATGAGCTTACAATCTGAAGAATTGTCCTTACCTGTATTTTTAATTTTTTGCATTTAAGTGTTTTCTTCTATGCTGGTAATTTCAATAATTTAACATTTTAGTATAATTATTTGTACTAGAGCAGGAATAGTGGAGCTCATTAGACTAGGTTTCCTGCATACTAAAGGGACTCTATAGTCATCCAGACCACTGAAGTCGGCGGGGGAGGAGAGGTCACCAGCGCCGAGGGAGCCCGGCGCTGGATAAAGGTAAGTAGTTGAAGGGGTTTGAGGGTGGGGGGGGAGGGTCCTATAGATGATATAGTGTCAGAAAAAAAAGTTTGTTTTCCTGACACTATAGTGATCCTCTAAGTAATACATAATTTGCAATATGATTATAAACAGCATTTTGTCAGTCATTTTGATATTTCAATGAGACCAAAAGGCAGGAGGTGGAGTCTATCAGTCTAGAGCCCTACCATCGTAAAGCTTCATCAGTCACCACTGTTTCTTAGTTAACAGGAAGTAGACAAACTCAATGAACGTGTTATTGCATTATTATTATCTAATCACATGTAAATATTACAGGATATAGAACCCTGACCCAATCAAATCACAAAGATAAGATGCCTTTATTTGTTGGGAAGGGTAAAAATAAGAACGATCAAGCTTGTCAGTGTTGGGTAGTTTGACTCCCGACTAATAGACCAGTTATTGTTTGCTGGATTATTAAGAACAAGTAATTTTTCCAAAACCTCCTGCCTGAAAGTACTTTATTTATATAACACTGTGTTCCAGCAACACATGGAAGCATCTGACTTAATATAAGGTAATGTATCCAATATAACCATTGCACTTCCAATTGCCTTATACCAAAAAGCTGGGCATTACAGTGTGTTTGGGTGTCCAATCTCCTGTTACATTTCCTCTTGCTTAATTTTGTCATTCTAGTAGGCTTTTCCTTATCTAATTCCAATATTGGAACACTTAAGGAGAAAGCTTTCAAACTATTTGCAGCTCTCAGATGTCCATATCACCAGATATGTTTATAGCAATGAAACCGATACAACTAAAAGCCTATAGCTGGGAAGAGACAATTTATGTTGCTTACATATAAAATGGGATTTCAGGTGATACACAATGTTTCAGATTATATAACAAAGCTTTTACTGAGGACTTACTGATATATATGTTTTGTTGATATAAATTCACAGAGATGGTGAAAGATCCCTCTTGTAGAAATAAATACAGATCTCTTTAACATTTGTAGATTGTATAACCCTTTTGCAACAGTTATGATCCATAGAGAGTATGTAAGGTTCGTAAAGAAAGCTGATCCTTTCAGTATTATGGAGGTGCATATCTCAGCTATTCAGAGCATGTTGCTCATTCTTTAAGCTTAGTTGTGGATTACCATTCACATTATCTGTACAGTTAGGGAATTCCAGAACTATGTTATTTTAGTAACTGTATAAGAAATGTGATTCTAAAATAACAAAAATATGTTCTTTACAATACAGGCTAATTGGAATTATAGATGTAGCCAACATCTTAATATGCTTACTTTAATTTTTTTTTTGTCAGTAATGACATTAAAAGTAGGTTATGTAATATTTTCAGATATATCTATAAGGTGTGCCCAACACATATCATTTTATTGCTAAGCCAGGCATGTAATCATATTAATAATACAAAGTAATATGCAGCAAAACCAGCATATGCTGAGAACTGAACAAGAAACAGAACATTTTAAGGTAAAATAACTGGAAACTGGAAAATTAATAAAAATTCAGCATTTTTTACAGGCTGGCTAGTTTGACTTAGAATCTGTAATTCTTTAGACATTTTTACAACAATGTGCAATGTCAATCAGCAGTGGCCAAGGCCAGTAAGGTATTGTCATGCATGAAAAAGGGCATTCATTCTCGGGACGAGAATATCATTTTGCCTCTTTATAAATCACTGGTAAGACCCCATATTGAATATGCTGTGCAATTTTGGGCACCTGTTCTAAAGAAGGATATTATGGCACTAGAAAAAGTGCAGAGGCAGGCTACAAAATTAATAAAAGGGATGGAACATATCAGCTATGAAGAAAGGTTAACAAATTTAAACCTATTTAGTTTAGAAAAACGTCACCTGAGAGGGGATATGATAACATTATACAAATATATTCGGGGCCAATACAAACCATTGTGTGGAAATCTATTCACAAACAGGACTTGACATAGGACACAAGGTTATGCGTTTAGACTGGAGGAAAGAAGATTTAGACTAAGGCAAAGGAAAGGTTTTTTTTACTGTAAGAACAATCAGGATGTGGAATTCTCTGCCTGAAGAAGTGGTTTTATCAGAGTCCATACAGATGTTCAAACAGCTACTAGATGCCTACTTGCAAAAACAGAATATTCAAGGATATAACCTTTCAATGTAGGGTAATAACTGCTTACTCCAAGGATAAATCTGACTGCCATTCTGGGGTCAAGAAGGAATTTTTTTCCTAGCTTGTTGCAAAATTGTGCTTCAAACTGGATCAACAGCAAAAAACAAATGTGAGGAAGGCTGAACTTGATGGACGCAAGTCTCTTTTCAGCTAGGTAACTATGTAACTATGTAACATAACTCATAATTCCTGATTTAATAATTAACACCAATATTCTAAGACTGCATCCATATTTCAGTGTGTTTTACTTCATTAACTAAATTTTCCTGCATCCCTTCCATGTACTCGTTTATTGAATTATTTTGGATAATGGAGTGGCTGCACATAATGGCTGGGAAAAATTTCAATATTGCTTTTATTTCAGCTATAATTTGATTTAAAGAACAAAGGTTTGCCACTTTGAATAATGCATATTTTGCAGTCTAGGAAACTATATGTAATATATAAAGGCAATGAAAGCATAGGGTAGAATTTATAATTAATTACATTGCTGCCAAATTTAGTGATATGTCAATAACTTTGGTACAGACAAAGGTAGAGACAGACTGAGTTTCATTAACACAATACCATAAGAACATGAATATAACAAATATAGTTAACAGATTGTATAATACCAGTATGTATGCAAGTTATTTGCCCCAATTTTTAATGCTAAATATACAAACAGATATGTACAGGAACAGAAAGAATGCTGGGTGCTTCGGTTGTAATATTTCAGTCTAAGTGGAGAGGGTTAGGGAGGGTGTGTGCTGTTGTGTGTTCATAGTCTGTGGAGAGGTTGGGGGAGATAGAGAAATGTTATGAAGAATGCTTGAAAGAGAAAGATCAAACAGGGAGAATCAAGAAGTATAAAATACTTAAGCTGGGAGCCAAGGAAAGCAAATGGTTGCTTTCATGGTTTGCATGACAATATATATATCATTAATATATCATTAATGACTTACCAGTCATCAAATCTGTAAAGGGAAAGTGAACTAGTTTGAAATCACATTCTTTAACAATCTGCAACTGAATGAATTATGCAGGTTTTCAAACCTTGCATTCTACATCTGTGTTCAATGAGCCATTCAATTAATTAACAAAACCATTAAATTTTTTTACTCACCAGTAGCAAATTGAAATTTTGAGGTATGTCTGTCTGTTGTAACACTGCATATACAGACTCATGGTACTATGACTGCTTTAAATCAATAAAGTGGTTATGGTGCTTGGCTTAACCCTTTAACGCAAGCTTTCAGGATAAGATATATTTCACAAAGAAATTATGACAGCCAAGGGTGCATCATATGAAATTAGAGTAAATTAAGAGTGTTTATACCCAATGCTTCATGGCAAGTAAGAAATAACTGAATTCATATAATGTCCTGTACTCGGGATCAATGCTATGCTTTATCTTAGTATACAAACATTTGCTATAATATTTGCAGCAATATTTAGTTTTTGTGGTAAGAAAGTATTCTTACCTTCTTTAACCCCTTAAGGACCAAACTTCTGGAATAAAAGGGAATCATGACTTGTCAGACATGTCATGTGTCCTTAAGGGGTTAAAATAAACCAAAAAAACAGTCATTACTTAAACTGATGATATCCTCTTCCACCAACATTTTTAAATCTTTCGATGCTATTAGAGCTGTTGTTCAGCACAACAACCTTTCTTTTTTAGTATTTTTGAGAAAGTACAGATAAGTATACAAACAAATCCCATGAATTTTACAATGATTTTCAAAGATCCATACTGAAGAATAGTGGAAAATACCATTACATGTATTTTGGAAGAGCATCATGTCATCTTTTCAAAAGTAAGGCTTGCTGTTTTTTCCAGGAAAAGAAGAAACCAGAAGATCTATTTTGAGCCTACACATACCCCATGTCAACCTCTTTGAAAACCATTTCTCAAGCAAGTGTATCTTTCGAACTTACAAACTTCAAAGTTCTCATCTCCTGTCTTTCACTAATCACAAGCTTTGAATCCTCTCTCCTCAACACTCATTTTCTATACTTATCCTTCCTTTCTTACCAGTAGGCAGAAGTTCCTGGTATGCGACCTGAGATGAAGAAAAAGGCGGATGTGGTGAGAACAGGAGGATGTCGGGCTGTAAGAGGGATAGAAACCGTAAGAGCATTTGCACAGTGCACCTTTAATTTTTTAATAGCCAGACAGTCCACAAATGTTTTTCCCCTGCATCCAAGTTCCCATTCTCGATTCCCTTGGCACAAAGTTTTACAGCATGTGCATCTCAGGAATAATAAACCAAAACATTTTTTAAGGATCAATGGTTCACCCCAAATTAATCCCACCCTGGATGAAACTCCACCCCCACAAGAATAGGAAGTCAAGAAAGTTAAGTATATATATATATATATATATATATATATATATATATACACACACACACACACACACTTCCTTGTGCCCCACAATCTCTTCTCCTGGTATTGCTGATGCCTCGGTTCCAAACTCCAGCCTTAACTATAATCTTCCTTGACAGAGTGCATTCACTTGTGTTCGTGTTAACCAATGCTGCTTTATTTGTGCAGTATCTACAGATATATAAGTCAACGTTTCAGTCCTAACCGGACCTGAGAAATATATATATATACATTAAAATTACTATGAAATTTGTTAAAGCTTATAGATTGCTTGTATCAAAATAATACATAATTATTTCTAATTATAAACAATAGACTAAAAATCTTTCACATACAAATGCACAAATGCTGTGGGATCTTAATCCTTCTCTGATTACATGGGAATATATTTCCTGTAACAAAAGAAAATAAGTATAGAAAATATAAATAGAACAGTGTTATATTAAGACTGACATATGAAGATTTTCTCTCTTTTTCACATATGACCCTTGATGCTGCTATCATTGTCACCCAAGTCAATTTGCCATTAATTTGCATGTACTTATTTAATATACAATATGTACCACACCTCAAATAAGATGTAAATGGAGCAAGAGCATTTTTATGTTTATCCTCATAAATCACACAAAATCTTCTAAATAATCCTCCATATTATCTGTAATATCTCACGAAAGACAGTACTTAAAATCTGATTATACACTAATCCACGTAAAGGCACTAGCCTTGGTGAAAGAATGTTGCATCGGTGCATTTTTAACTCTGGTTTCATTGTTTTATCAATTTGTGTGTTGCTTGTAAAATAGTCTTTTACGTTTTAGAAAGCATTCATTGTTTTCTCAGACAGGATGGTGCTTGGTAAGCCATGTCTTTAAAACACATTTTTAAGGTTTGTAAAATTGTCAAAGTTATCACAGCACATATTAACAATATACACAATTTGCATTTTCATCAAAATATATGTGTGCACAGCTGCCATCACCATTCAATTCAAAGCTTAAAATATAAGTTGTTTTATAAAAGCGCTTGTGCTTGAGTACTAATATACCAGAAATATATAGTTAGAAATTTCCTACTGCTAAAGCCTTATACAAGACACAAATATTAAAGTGCATTAATAATTGATCACTTTTTCATCATGGATTATACTATTACATAAATCAAAATAAATGTCTAAATAAGTAATGTTTGTTACTTTTTTTTTTTTTTTGGATATAGGTATATTCAAATTAATTAAAATGCAACTGGTAAACAATGCACAAAAACTCCAGCTATGCAGGGTATAATGGCACAATGATATATAAACATGGTTTGGATAAAAGCTAAAATAAAATTGGGTTTTGAATAGTCCAAAATAGGAGTAAATGTTACTTTATTGCTGAAATGTTATTACATTGTAACTATGAAACTCTGCTTAATCAACAAATAATAAAACCAGAATTACGAGAGAACAGCATCAACATCATATTTTAATGGACTATAATGCCATCACCTTTACTTACTATTAAGCTGATGATGGTCTGGGAATTTTTAGAACAACGGACAAAAGAAAATGGCAGCCTTCACTCTGTTAAAAAAATTAAAAGAAACAGTCATTGTGTGTTGGGTACAAACTATCCCTGGAAAATAATGAAATAGAATTTTCTCTCTAAGAAGTAAGAACGAAGTGCCACATTTATATCAAAAAGGGAAACTATAGTTAAATCCTTTTAAAATGGAGTGGATTTTACAGGAAACCCATATTTCATTGTGAATGAGTGTTTGTTATTACTACATGCAGACATGATTCCATTTTACCTACATCCATTTTTATTAGTTGTCTCCACCCTATATTAGTCGAAAGACAGTTTAATCCCCATTCTTGCAAGGCATGTTAATACCAAGAAATAGAAGATGGAAACCAACCTGCTCATACAAGTAAAACTGGTATAGTATTATTATTTTTAAAGATGAGCTAGGTGGGTTTTGACTTACAGCATTAGTATAATCTTTATGATCTAAAGATTGTGTGATTCTTTAATAGTGTCAATCGCAATGTGTTTTTGGAATGGTATGCTAACTTGTAAAACAGGTTTCTCTAAATGGGCAATTTATCTCAGAACAAGCTTTGATAGCCACTCTCATTTCTAAAGGAAATTATTATTAGAAATATGCAATTGTAGTGATCAAAAGAAGATAAAAAGATTTTGTTAGAGATTTGAGAACTCTTCTACTGTTGCTTAGAATTAACTTTCATATAGACGATGATGTTTGTTGGAAAAACATGAAACTTTTTTTATTCTTTATTTTTATTTGAAAGAAAGTGTAAAACTATATTTTAGTTTACATGTATAGTAGACATATATAATATAATACAATACAATTACAAATTAACAATGAGTTGTTTTTCATTATACGTAGATGAATGAAGGCACTTTCAGGGACTTTAGACTAGTATCAGATTTGATTTTTAACTTCGAGCTTTACTTGATACATAGAACAGTTAACCACATTTGTGAAGTGGGAAATGGAAAGTCAGAGCAGGAAATGGAATAGAGAATGGAGAGGGTAGAAGCAGCAGGCATAAGCACTCTGATCAGTAGACTTGTGCATAGTAAGAACATTTCGGAATACCTGAATTTTGGCCAAATGTCAGTTTAGGTTGGCAGAATTTTGGTATTTGAAATCCAGTTTGGGGGCCAAATCAGACGAATCAAAAGGGAATGGAAATGGGCCAATCAGTGTACTGTAAAATCAGTTATTTTGAGAAGTGAGTGCTATAGGGCTAATGTTGCTTGGAGTGTTTCTTTAGAGGGCCTAAAATCCACGCATCTAATGATGCTCTGGAGTGAATTCCAAACATAGGTCCACCAAAAAGACAAAACAACTTGCCTTCATTGTATTCTTGTCTTACCAGTTGCAGTGCATATCTGTAGGAAAAACCAAACCAAGAAGTGTTAAAGCACACACAATTATTAAAAATTTTTTACCTTTTAAAAATTAATGAGAAGGGTCTTGTAACATACATTCAGATAAGAGGACCCTAAATAAAATAAATATAAAATGGAAAAACCATAGTGCAATCTGTATATATATATATATATATATATATATATATATATATATATATATATATACACACACACACACACACACACAATTGGCACACTCAAGAACCCTTAAAGAATGGCTCTGAACTGTATAGGCACTTCATCCACCATAGGGATTGTAGTAAAATCTTTTGCTGGAATAAGAAGGTATCCAGAAGCGACAGGAATCAGATGATCAATGTTAAAATCACTTTATTCAAGCTTACTTATCTGTACATGGAATAAAGTGATTTATTTTATTTAGGGTCCTCTTATCTGAATGTATGTTACAAGACCCATCTCATTATTTTTAAAAGGTAAATGATTTGTAATCATTGTGTGAGCTTTAACACTTTTTGGTTGTGTTTTCTACTATTTTTGTTCAGTGTACAAGGTGACATTACACTTTAAGCTGTGTTAGTTTCCACCGGATTATTATTAAACGAGCGCCACATATCCCTTTAAAAGTTTTGTATTATATCTGTAGGAAATGCTGCATATTTTCCGAGTTCCATAATCTTAAAAAGATGGAAATATTTTGGGTGAATATGTAATTGGATATTTCACCTTTGAAAAAAATACTACCTATCATATTTTGAGTTAATAAATTGAAAACCGAATTGCAAAATTAAGGCAAAATCAGTTGTATTGTATAGATGAGTTGGAGATTTTTTTCAAAATTTCACAAATGGATTTTTAATTCATTACAATTTTATATTTAATCAATAAACCTCTAAATATTGTCTCTTCTTCATCATTTCTTTTTTTTCTTTCTGAATACCGTAGCAAGTTTTCTGCATGTGGTATCATGACAATTGTTTCTCTCTTGGAAGCTTGGAAGACAAATGTTTCTCTCCTGGAAGCTTGGAAGACAAATGTTTCTCTCTTGGAAGCTTGGAAGAATTTATGGATGTTCCGGAAAATAATCTCTTGAGATATAGTTTACAGTTTATATATTTTGTTGGTATTAAATGTGTATCTGATGTTTGTGTCTGCATTTGGTAATCATTTGTTATCATGTAAAGCCAAAAAGGTGATAAGCGCACACAGATAGTTCCCTTTTATACAAATTCTTTTTAATTATTAAATAGGTTATTAAAATATCACTTTTCAGGGCCCATTTAAAGTTGGCTCTGGACTTGTAAAGCATATATGTCTCCTTATAGACACAGGATAACTTCCTCCAAAGATTGGAATCCCAAAGGTGCAAAAGTGCTTGCATCAGATACTCCAGGAAGAGGTAGGAAGGTAGGTATAAACAATTTATTACTTCATATATAAAAACTTAATAAAAAGATACAAACAAATAGAATGTACAATGCGTTTCAACCCTGATTGGGTCTTCCTCAGGTGCTGGTATGTGCCTCACTGGCCTAGCATCCTTATATATCGGTACATACACATTGATTAATTGCTGACACATGTAAAAATACACCCCTTACCAAATATGGTCCAAACTGCATATGTACTATGCCACCTCCAATATGGCGACATATCCAGTTTCAGACCTGTATTTCCACCCCTCCAGCCATGTTGATAGATTTCAAAGTCCCATACTGAGTGTCCACCTTTCACTGCTTCGGAACAAATCCGCCGCATCACTCTCTGTGATATCTTTCTGCCGGTATATGTTCTACTTATTTGTCCTTAACGTCATTTCCTGTGACGTATTTCCATCGTATGTTACCTTCCCATAGGTTCAGGCAATTTCATAGACAGAAGTGCAGCTCTTTTCAAACCAAATTGTTCAATCTCAGGCGCCCGAATAAACAGATGATAATTGACTAGAAATGACTAGAAAGAGCATAAAAAGACAATTAATGATTAATAAAAGAACATATAATTGATATATTACATTAGGAATATATTAAAAAATTGGTTAATAAAATCCAGTGTGTAAAAAATGGTCGTTATATAAAAATGGAATTAGATAAGAACAGTTACATAAAAATAGAAGGAAAAAAACAAAAACAAAAAGAAGGGGAGGGATATAAAATAAATCTTATAAAATAGGATTAATTTCAAAATCGATATTGAATCCCTTAGGAAGTGCGTAATTAAAAATTACATTTTGTCTCCTGAATACTTAATTTCTTAGCAACATCTCCCCTCCAATGTGCATTCACTTTTTCTATTGCACAAAATTCTAAGTGCTTTGGTTCTGACATATGTTTTTCTAAAAGGTGCTTAGACACACTGTGTCACTATATGTGCTCATGTCTTTAAAAGGAATCCTGTCATTAACCCTGGTGTCCCCTTTTATTTTTCTGCAGTTATAGTAAATATACAAATAACTTAAAAAGTCAAGTATATTTATTTACACGTATATAAGTATATAGGTATATATTAATGTTAATGCTTTGCCTGGAGTTGATGGAGGGGTTTTGTGTTACCTATAAAAGGGACTCCTCCCTTTCCTACCCTACCATCAATTGTCTGGCGATCTGCATGCAATCTACTTCCGGTGCAGACCTCCATCGTTCAACTAACCTGTCCACATGCTATCCTTGCTCTGCTGTTGGCTGTCTCCTGTGTTCTTCCATCGTCAGGCTCAGCTCCAGCTCCTTACTCCTGAACCAGCCCTCCATGCGGCAAACTGACCTGGAAGCACTTGCTGACCTTCAACCCTGTGGACAGACTGTTGCGTATATGTATATTGTCAACTATAATATTTATACGTATATGATCATTGAATTTTCGATTTTGTCTGTGGCTATATTATATTCCTCTGTTAAACAGATCATCAGGTTATGGTTCTTCCCATAGGTAGGTCATTTAAAGGTTTTAAAGTATTCTACTGTACTGTGCATGTCTTAACAGTCAAATATATATATATGTAAATATATACACACACACACACAAATGGTGTTGCGCTGGAGAGTTAGCAGTACAATGCCATTTGTAACCTGCTGTGCATTCGACACTTGTCCATCTCTGTCTACATATATCCTAGATATAAATATAATCATTAATAAAGTTCTATTCATTACTGACATCCAAATACATATTAAAGACGTTAGGTCAAGCGATATATGGGGTAATTGGTTCTTTGGGTAAACACTATCCCATACGTATGGATACTCCTGCACTGTCTGCAGGCCAGCTTATAAGCCATATCTTATATATCTCATGGAAACAACATTCTATAACAGATTACGGGGTCATCAATTTTCAGAGCAGCGTTTGCTCTTCGTACCTAGAATACAATGTCAGTAGCTAGGTGTGTGTTACATACAGGGGTAAGACGGTCAAGAGTTCCTTAGCTTTACAGGCTTAATAATATGTATACAAATATTGGTCATTATTAGGTAATAGGCCTCTCCTTCCCCTCTCAGCCTCCTTTAGTGGGAACTACAAATTTCAGTTACAGGTTGCACCATACTATGCATAACCTACACAAGTACTTATACAAATCCAGGTACGTTTTCAGCCACAATGGCTCCCCCGCAACTGTTTTACTGGGTGACTGGGATCTAGGTGGCCAATAGAAGTTAAGTTTCAGTAATCTCTGATTTAGATTTAGTGGTCCCACGAGGTCTACACCCATCCTCCACACATGAGGTACTACGTTCCTTGGGCCAACACATAGTTAGCCACCTCGCATAATGGCATAGAGAGGGCCTCACTTGTCACACCCAATCTAGCTTATGCTTTAAAAGTCACAGAGAGGCCAACACCCCGCCACAACTTTCGGTGGCAACGAAACCCCCTCGCGCCAAAGCATAGATAGAACCTCTTGAGCTGCTTGGCAACTAGCAGGGCCTCACCTGTCACCAACTTAGTGAATTGCTTCTCCACTTGGCACTAGCTAGCAAGTTATTAAAAAACGGTTTGAATACAAACCAATTGTTGCTAAATTTTCAGTATGTCTCAGATTCCAAAAGAAGGAGATAATGTGTCAATTCCCAGCACTCCAGCAAGGCCCACTACACCTATATGTAAAGGTAATACCCATAGCCCTGCTTCCATCAGGTCATGGACCATCCCACAAATAACGGCTGAACTACACAGGCGCAACATTCCTTTCCTGGAAACAGCTAGGAAGGCAGAGCTATTCAGGCTCATGCATAGTAATACCGATAATATAGATGCTGGAAAGGGCATGGGTAGCTCAAACAACACTGATCTCCATGCAATGATATCATCACTCGTGTCCTCTATGGGAAATATAAACGAGAGACTGGAAAGATTTAAGCATGTAGTCTCGCTATACCATCAGTGTGGCCCCTTGCTACCGAACCACCAGGCACTACTCAGACACAATCTGGTAATAGCTTATCAGCAGGTTCGTGGCTCACATGTTATTCAATCAGCTCATATGGTAGACTTAGCTAATAAATACGGTGGTACGGCACCTTCTCAGTGAAGGTGTCTGCAGCTCTTGCCCAGTTTGATGTTAGTACAGATTGGAGTCAACTGGACAAAGAGCTTTTCTGCAGACACTTCGCTGGAACGAGGACACCAGCTTGTGCAATCTGTGCATCCACTTCACACTCAGCTAATCTATGTCCAATCTCACCCGACATCTCTCCTAACCTGGCCACCCCAAGCACCAAAGCAAAGAGTGACAAACCAGTCAAGGATAAATTAGGACGTCAAATTGTGTATTTGGGAAATCACAAATATGTAACAACTTTAACGAAGGTACTTGTGGATATAGTGCTTGCCGCTTGCTGCATGTTTGTTCCCACTGCTACAAGGCCCATGCAAAAGCTATGTGCCCCAATAAAATGCATTCTTAACCTTATTTAACCTCTGGGGATGTTGGTTCTCTAGTCAGCCTTCTACCCACCCACACGTCCAAACACTTGGTTGAATTTTAATAACAGATTTCACCCAAGGTTTCCATACAGGCATCATTCACAGGCCAGCAGGAACCATAGAATACAACAACCTACAATCGGCTATGGCAAATATAAGGGATGAAGGGCTTCTATTGGGGCCTTTTCAGGGACCTCCATTTTCTAGTTGGATGACAAACCAATTTGGCAAAGTTACCAGGAAAACTCTTCAATACAAAGACTTATTATAGACATCTCTACACCACACTCCTCAGCAGTCCCTAGTCTTAATGCCACGATTCCCTCAGAGGAATTTTCACTACAATACACAATGTTAGATAATGCCATAGATGCAATCATTTCAGTAGGGATAGGGGCATGGCTCAGTAATACTGACATAGTTAATACCTTTAAACTTCTACCCATTCACCCATCTCTAAGGCACCTGCACAGTATTAAATGGAGAAGCATGCATTATTTTTCACAAGACTTACTTTCAGATCACAAAGCAACCCAAAAATATTCAACACATTGGCAGAATCTTGTGCTGGCTTTTACTTAATATACACCGCTGCCAATACATACAATACATAATGAGATTTCTTAGTAGATTGACTTGGTTAGCAGCCTGTACACAATTTTACCAAGTGTTGTCATGTTCCAGGTATACACAACATGGCAGCTAACCAGTTATCTCGCTTTCAATTCCAGGCATTCCAGGAAACTCTTCCTACTGCCTCACGACTGGCTACAGCCGCCCCACCATTCCAAGACCCAATAATGGATTAGATGAGTCATTGACCCATAGGCAAGTATTAACAAAATGGCTCTATCACTTAATACTCGTCGATCTTATGTTAGGGCCTTCTACTTATACAAGAGATTCCTAGCGGAACGTAACATAGCCAACAGGTTTGATTTAACATCTCTGGTAGGTTTGCTACTTTTTGCCACCTTAAATTTAGACTATCTCACAATACTATCAACTGGCATACAACATCACATGTTCTCTACTTTTCCAAACAATTCCACTTTCATATCATCTTTCCAATAAAGACTATACTTAAAGGTATATAAAGCAACCTGTACAGGAAATGCAGAAGGTTTTTGTCAAAATGTCCTCATAATGTAATATATATAGTATTATGTTCATTGTCTAAATATACAACGGCACTGTATTCTCTCCTTTTTGCCCACTTTTATTTACAGGCCTACTGCATCATCATTTTCCGGCACACCTCAACCGACTTTTCCTATAACAGGTTACATCGCAGCACAATCTTGTATTATCAATATTGATATTGCCTCGATGTTGCCTGGAGTTGTGGGAGGGACTTGGTGTTGCCTATAAAAGGGACCCTACCTTCAATGGTCTGGTGATTTAAATGCCCTCCCTCCACACCCTTTATTCATTAATATTCTACTAAGAGTGGGCCCACTTTTATTTCCAGGCCTACCGCATCGTTGGTTCCGGCACATCTCAACCGACTTTTCCTGTGTGTATATATATATATATATATATATATATATATATATATTATTAAGCTAAATTGAGGACTCAGACATTACATTATTGTACTCTCTAGAACTATTCGTATTTATGCAGTCATGGAGATGATGAGTACATGGAATAAAAGAGGCACAAAGAAGAAATGTATGTATGCTGTAATTTCCTTTCGGTATAACACCTTTCCTTCGGGCATCCTATTCGATATAAATCTTATGCACCATCATCCTTTTTAGAACTTCTTCTTTACCTCTTTTTCTCAGCAACTTTCTATATGAACATAATCCTAAATCACAAATATAAAAGTATATATATATATATATATATATATATATATATACACATATATATATATATATATATATATATATATATCATGAACTGTGAATCATGAAGAAATATGTCCCTCCATTTGAAGGAAAACTGGATTTGCTGATCAACAACTGTGACAGGAATGTGCATGGTTCGGAATTAAATTGATCTGAATGTTTTTCACCATAAATTATTATTAGGTAATAGAAAGGTATTGATACATATTAAAGCAATTCACATGATCCAAGCTATTTTTTTTTTTTTTTTACTAAATTAAGTATTTATTTGATAGAATAGCAGTCTCCCCTAGGGTGACCCAAAGTTGTGTAATAAAAGGAACTTGTACAATGGGGTTCACTCAGAACATAAATGTAATTATCGTAAAATGAAAAAAACACTCTTAATGTCAAAAGTATTTAGAAAGAAAAAGTACTTACAAAAATAAAAGAAAAACAAAATAACTTTATTAATAGATATACTGGGACTTGTATAGTCAGCCAAACAAAGCAAAATATCTAAAACATCCTTTAAAGTTACAGGAAAGACAAAGGAGGGTTAACCCGAAACCGTGACCAATTCTCATTAGTACAATATGAACGTAATGTGATTGTATCCAGGTTATGAGGAATCCTATTGAATCTAAGTACCCTGCCTGTTAAGAAAGCCCTTGCTTTTTCTTTTTCACTATAGCACAGTGTGATGGGGATGTAGACGTATCGATAGGCAGAAAACTGGGTTTTGTGGGTTTGATATTTTGGGAGATCCTCCATTATACGGCTAGTGAGGAGAGGGGAATGATTTTGTAACTTGTGGTAGCTTACTATTTGAGGAGTCTCCTTGACAATCCTATTTTTGCCCAATGTAATTTTTCAAAACTTACCCTGACATCAACACTAGCTATAGAGCTATTTTCCCTATCAATACCACTGCAAATGAATGATATCCATGAACTTATGTAAAGACTGTCAATTGAGTCAGTCACAAAGACCGTCAGAGGTATTGGGATTAGTCCCTTTATTTATATGTTTTTATTTTTTTGATCATTTGTAACTTGCTCTCTAGCCTGATACTTTTGGGTTTCAAGTTACAGTCTCTAACTGGAGATTGAACACAGCGTTTCTTAAATACAGAGACTGTATTTTGATCATAGCTTTATATAGATTTTATCTTTTGGAGTCTATTTAAAGCCTATAACCCTTAAAGATATAAGCATCTATACAGCTTCTCAGTGGTCTTACGTGCTCCCAACTTGCACCGTTACAGTCCATAATGAATGCGGCGGCGAGGCACATCTTCCTGTCCGCCCGCACCTCCCATGCCTCACCCTTCTGTCAGTCCTTACATTGGCTTCCTGTAAGATATAGAGCTCAATTTAAAATTCTGGTTCTTGCTTTCAAATCTCTACATAATGCTGCTCCCACTTATCTATCCTCCCTTATACACAAGTATGTCCCGTCTAGGCCCTTACGATCTGCTGAAGACTTACGTCTATCTTCTGTCCGTACTCCCACCTCTGATGCTCACCTTCAAGATTTCTCGAGGGCTGCACCGTTCCTGTGGAACTCGCTTCCCTCCTCCGTTAGATGCTCACCCAGTCTCCACGACTTCAAAAAAATTGTTAAAAACCCACTTCTTCATAAAAGCGTATCAATTAAACTGTTAGTAGCTCCTGACTGATTCCTCTTCTGCAACTATCACTAGTCTAATACTATCCTTACCTTTTTATGTCATTTTACCCCACTCACTCTAGCATATAAGCTCATTGAGCATTGCCCTCAACCCCTCTGTTCCTGTGTGTCCAACTTGTCTGGTTACAACTACATGTCTGTTCGTCCACCCATTGTAAAGTGCTGCGGATTTTGACGGCGCTCTATAAATATCATAATAATAATAATAATAGTAACCTAGTGTTATATAACAGGTGGGATACTTAGATTCAATAGGATTCTTACTTACCTAGATACAATCACATCATGTTCATTCTGTACTAATGAGAGTAAGTCACAGTTTAAGGTTAACCCTCATTTGTCTTTCCTGTACTTTTAAGGAATGTTTTTGTTATTTTGCTCTATTTTACTGACTATATAAGTCCCAGTATATGTACTATTATTAAGGTTATTTTAAATGTAATTATTTTTTTTATGTTTTTATAGTGACTTGTTCTTGCTAAATACTTCTAACATTAGGATTTTTTTTTTAGCTTTTGAGATAATCACATAAGAAGTAAGTATTTCCCTATGATCTTATCATTTAAATGATCACTATAGGGTCAGGAACACAAACATGTATCCTATAGTGTTAAATCCACCATCTACACCCCCTTGGCCCCTCATGCCTCCATAAATATAGCAAAATCTTACTGTATTCAAGCCTAAAGCTGTAGATCTGCTTGCTGTTTGCCTCAGAAAAACAAGCTGTCTGCTGACATCATCAGAAGTGGTGGCCTGATCCAATCACAATGCTTCCCCATAGGATTGGCTGAGACTGACAAATAGGCAGATCAGGGGCAGAGCCAGCATGATTCAAACACAGCCCTGGCCAATCAGCAACTCCTCATAGAGATGAATTGGATCAATGAATCTCTATGAGGAAAGTTCAGTGTCTGCAAGCAGAGGGAGGAGATACTGAATGTTTGGATGCATTTTAGGCAGCCATGACCAAGGAAGGCTCTCTAACAGCCATCTGAGGAGTGGCCAGTGAAGTTATCGACAGGCTGTAATGTAAACACTGCATTTTCTCTGAGAAGACCGTGTTTACAGCAAAAAGCCTGAAGGTAATGATTCTACTCACCAGAAAAAAATCAATAAGCTGTAGTTGTTCTGGTGACTATAGTGTCCCTTTAAATATAAGTGAGAACATATAACATATTTTTTTTATATATAGAGCATATACAGACCTATTTTTTTGCTATCTAGAGAACTAACCTATCCAATAAGAATATGGGAATATGAATTAGAGTGAATCGTCTTTATGTATTGTCCAAGTGCTTAAAATGTCATACATACAAGGTACTGGGCACTTATTTTAGATCAGAAGAAAAAAAAAATAAGCATTGGTCAGTTTCATATCATCTGGAAATAATTACAAATTGTTTTATGACTTTTTTTTGCTCTCAAAAATAATATTTCTCTTCCCTCAAAAAATAAAAGATGGTTGTGCTTTATCTTCCCACAGTGTCCAAAGATTTAAACCTATAAAAATGAAAAAGGTACACTGTATACTCTACACATAATTTTTTAATATCCACAATACACATTTTTTTTACCCTGTGTAAATGGAAATGTTTACAGAGCTAAAGATTTTAAGACATATTTATTGATTAAGTAGTGTTATATCATAAAATCTATTGAATTGTTAGTAACTCAAGGTCATTGAAAGCTCTTGTGAGTCATATCTTGACTGTATGCCTGCAGCTGGGCTAACTTGATTAATGGATCTGTTCAATACCCACTGGGAAGCTTGGGGTAACTTGTTTCCATAGCATCATTTTCGTGAGTCAAGCCACAATTGACATTAATGGGGACTTGTGTCAAGAGCTGAGCTTGGGTAGTTTATTTGTCAGTACAGTTTTACTATGTTCAAAACCTCAGATTTTTTTTCTGATTTTTAGACTGTTGTTAGTGACCCTGGAAGGCTTAGTTCAATGGTTGGCCAGATTTTGACATTAGTACATCTGCCTTTTGACTGTAAACAGCAGGGTGAATTGATAGCGTAGAATTCACCTAGCTGGATATACCTTGAAGTAGAAGGTTCGTGGTTCCTTGTAATAAAATCCTCATCATGTTCTATACCCTTAAGGGGAGACAAGCACATTATCTCTTACATTTTGTAAGTTCTCCACCTCGTGGAGCTATTTATTTTATCCTTATGTACTTCACCATATATTGTCCTTTTTATTTGTAGAGTTATACTATATCAGACTATGGACACACAGGTTGTATTGTTCCTATCTGGGTGTAATCCATAACCCCCTACCCCATTATATACTCCCCCATTCTAGGGACGTATATAATAGTTTGTTTGTTCCATATTTTTGCAGTGTTTTGTGAGGTACACTTTGTAGGGTGGTTTATTCTTCCTTCTGTGTGTATATATAGTAACTATTTTGTGCTATGCATCTTGAATAGAGTATAAAGCACCTTTGGAGAATTATTGGCATATTAAAAAAATAAACGAAAACACTTAATCCCTTTGGATGATAAACTCATGATTTTACTTTTTATAATTCTTTAATGGATAAAAGCTCATTATAGAAAATATATATTATTTAATAATGTTTTCTCAATTATGCACATAAGTCCAAGTATAACTCATAAGTAAGCAACCACCTTTTCTTTCACACTTTTTGTGATATCACTAAAATTCAGCACAGCTGAAGATATATAAATTTAATTTTGTATCAATAAATATGACACCACTAATCTGATTACTGTGCAGATCTTCATTCGAAAAGTAAATCCACTGGTGAAGTAAACATGCCAAACACCTGACTAAAATGAGACCATTAAATTATATTTTGGCAGTGCATGTATATTGCTTTGGACCGATTTCACTTTCACTGCTGTAATTTGGACACCATACAAATATAGCTTAAATATTGCTAAATTTTGTCTTTTATTAAAACTTCATAATATACTCATAGAATTTAAAGAAAAAAAAATTCTGAAGCCCATTGCTACATTACAGGGGTAGGAATAAATACTGCTGCATAACCTCCAGACTGGTTTGAACAGATTACAGGAATATTTGCTGGATCAGTAAGGGCTTGGCTTTGATAAACTGAGGGGGCTTTGAGAGTTAATAAGTGAACGGCTAACCTCAAGGTGATGGAATTTTGAATCTTCAGTGTCATTTGCCCGGCGAGTTAACGACTCCAGGGAACTGGCCATGCCAATTTTTGTTATGTGCCAGAAATTAAATCATATCAGTTTAATTTCAGATATTTTTAATGCCTTCCAGATCTCTCATTTTTATCAACATCTTCAAAAGATTAAGTTATCATGTGTATATGTTTTCCCCAAAAATGCTCTCTCTGTAGTGATGTTTCAATCTATACGCTAATATTTCTTATGACTTGATGGTTAAAATATTGTGTCCTGTGTTTACCTGAAAAAGGTTTCTAATGTCATGCTGAAAATATTTTGTATGATACGTTTATAATCATTAGAACATGGGATTAAATCTCATCCCAAAAATACATTCTAATTTAACATGGTTTATGTAAAATAGTTTATGACAGGTATTTTATAAAGATGCCCATTTTATTACTATAATATATATTCTTTCCTTTTCGAAATGCATGTTCATAAAAATAACATGCAGCAGTCTTTAGTCGTGCAAGATGTTTTAAAATTTTGTTTTCTCATTCTTTTCCTATTTGCAGGCTAAAACTAAAGAGGTTATCTATTGCTCACTACAGGATATTCTTAAAAAGAGATTATGCCCCCCAAAAAAGCCTCTTTAATGACATATACCCGTGGTTTTTTGAACATCGTAATAATTAATTGGTGGCACAAAACAAGACTCTAACATAACTTAGCTAGGAATTTTGAATCAGCTACACCATTAGGAACACAGGGAAACGATTCAAGTACTAAATTCAACTCCTTCTCTCCTTCTATTTTCAGTGTTTAAGAAAAAGTATTGTACTGATCTTACGAATATCAGTTAGGTGCCATATCTTTTGATCATGAATAGGCAAACTTCAGTACTCGTGATGTAGACTACATCTTCCATAATGCTATTTCATCCATAATACTGGCAAAGCATCAAATGAGATGTAGTCCACAGCATCTGAACTGACCGTGATTGCCTACCCCTGCTTTAGATTCCGAAGCCATTATTATTATACAAACTATTGATTTCCCCCTTCTCTACTGTTATTTATTTAGTGTTAGAGTGACTGAATATTAGGAAAATCTAGTGTTTGATTTACATATAGTTCATGCTTTGTTGCTTACAGAGATACAGATTAGAGACACTTCATAATTTTATGCAAAAATAAAAACATAAATAAATCAAATTCTGAAACAAACAAGGTTTATTTCCTCTTAAAGTTGAGTGTGTTATAGACACATGGGAGAAAAAACAATGGACAAAAGATTAAATGTATACACTGGGCCAACAAAGAGAGGAAACACACACAAAAACATGTATTCAAGCTTTGTAACATAAGATTACTCCGAGGGGAGAGGTCACTGAGAATGGAAGCACACAATATGATGTACTTGCTTGTATGTATTAACTATTACTGTAGAGACATATAGTTAATTATTTATACCATTGTCTATCTATACCATTAGTAAAGGCTATATAAACTAGCCCAGACATCATGACTGTATGTATGCTCTTTTGTTCCTAATATGTAACTTAATATTTAACCAAAATCCTTACATTAATATCTTTTTTTCTTTTTAGAGGTCAGATGTCACCATCTAAATGAAAAAACAAACAACAATAAAAACGGTTTAAACGTCATGTATCTTTATTTTGGCTTAGAGTCTGGCAGTATCCTCAGAAACTTATAAGTAATAAAAATGTCATATACTAATCTGTTTTACTCTTTTTAATGTCATTTTTGCTTGTGTAATTTTAACGAAATTGTCAGTAGTAACTAGTGTAGATATAGGCAACTTTTGGCACTCCAGATGTTGTGGACTACACCTCCCATAATGTTCTTACATCCATAATGCTGGCAAAACATCATGGGAGGTGTAGTCCAAAATATCTGGAGTGCCGAAGGTTGCCTAAGCATGATCTAGTGTAAGGATTATAGTTGCAAAGTATAGGCCCATAATGGAATTGGATAAACATTTTTTTTAATCTCAAGCCTTGAAATGTTTTTTTTTTTATGATTATTTTTTATTTTATTTATTTTACTTATAAAATGTGTGGTCCATTCCATTCCATTCATCTCAATACTTGTATACTTTACTTACAATTATCATTATTGAGAGATAAAGGATAATGGGATATAGACAGCATGTTGATGTAACCCCTTCTCTCACAATCTCTGTACTATTGTCAAGGACAACTTCCCCAACAGGCATACAATGAGGCAACTACCATATACTTAGATAGAATGTATTACCGGACCTTAGAGTGGCTGGACTTAACGTATAAAAGTACAGAATACATTCTACAGAGAAACAAGAAAAAAAACGATATTGGCCAAGATCAAGGATTCCAGAAACCAGAGTTGTCAAAATACACAGAGACAAATCAATAACAGAATAACACACTAATGCAAGAATGCATTCTCGGGCAACTGAGACCATGACAGAGTAAGGAAGTGAGGTCAAAAGGCAATATATTGTCACTGGTGGCTTAACGTTGACTTGTGTCATGAGTGACACCAAAAGCAATGTGACCTGTGTCTTGTGGATGATATGGATTATCTGGGCACCAATATATGATGCCAATCATCATGTGTATAAAGGAATAAGCATTATGGCCTTTGCATTATTATCAATGCTAGAACAACATCTGACAGCATGGTGCCAGCCATGCCTGAATGATGCAGAGCTATAACAACAGCTTCTAACTTTGATGTGTACTACTTCACAAACAGATTTCATAGAAATGTTTCAATCAATGTCTGACTTGAGTACCATTTGCGATTAACTGTGTGATGAGAAGCTGAGGTTGAGATGGGGGAGCTACGTATTAGGTGATGATAAGATGGGTATATGGCAATGCGATGGGGGCTGGCAGTAATATATTTGGCATAATATTAGATGAGAGGCAATATAGATGAGAGTGGGGCAAAATTCATAATTTTTTTCCCATATTTTTGTGTCTATGTAACCATATAACACATTGGCAGAGTACAGTATTGGGTTAGTATAAACATTTCACCTTGGCTACATTGTATTACCTTTCTGGTCCTGGCACTAGTTCTTCAAACCTATCTGTATTATTTATTTTATAAATATATATCTGGAGAAGAGATCACTTTCATAGAATGTGCATTGGCTCAAATATAATGCAGGTTGCCAGGGAATTACCATATCATGGTAAGTTTATAAAAAAAAATAAGGGGACTGAAATGTTAATGTGAATATTAGATTTGGAATCCAGGCCAGATTCCTATTGGGCTGAGCACCCCACCCATCCTCTCTAGGTGCCCCTTTGGAGGTGAACACAGGAAAGCACTAACTGAGTAGAGTCTCTGGAAGCAGTTTAATCAGTAAATATTGCAGATATCATGTTAATGTCCCATATAGAAATTAGTGTAGGGCCCACAGATAATGGGGTACTGCGACATAGTTGTGTCCTTAATGGTATGTATGTATCTATAAGGCTGTCACATATTAAAGTTCGATATACGTTTTTCTAATTTTTACATATAGTTCATTTAAAAAAAAAAAAAATTTCCTTTCAAAATAACTTTTATATTAAAAATAGATTTTAGGTGGCAATAGTCCTTTAAGCAGACCACTATACTTTAAAATGTAGTAAAATGCCATGTAGTTGCCCAGTTAGAAGTTGATTGCCTGAGTTACATGGCTAAATTGCATAGAACGTTGCATTACTAAGCACAAGACAAAGACATTCACTACCCCAACATTATGAAATAAAATGCTGTAAAACCTGTTAGCCAGCATTGGTCAGACATCAATGTTTGCAGTGCGGTGAATTATGGCAGGCCGTTCCTTCACTTAATACAAATATATTTTCTTTTGATGTTTCAATGAGGCCAGTTGGTACATCCAAAAGGAGAGTAAACAGATAGAAAATCCACAGTAAAAACATTAGAAATGCCTACGCTAGAGCAAAGAAAGAGAAAAAACATTCATAAAAAAAATAGAGAAAATTATGAAAAGAACAATTCAGAGGTTGCATTTTCAGACTAAACATAGTAACCTTAAAATTCTCCAGCTAATGCTAATTTTGAATAAGGAATTAGGTGTAATAAACGCATGAAAAAGACATAATTTCAGAATTCTAAAATATGAGAATAAAATGCACTCATCTTGGACAACATCCAACTTTTATTCAACTAATGCTCTGTAGGTTTAATCCAAAACGTGTATACTGCCAAGTGAAGATTACTTAATCACTCAAATACTATTTAGCTATTTGTTTTCACTCATAATGTTAACCAGAGGAAATTCCCTTGTCCAAGTCCATCATGGGGTCTCATTATCAAGCTGTTAAATGACAGCACGTTTAAACTTATAGCAGATCTGGTAGTTCAGGGGTAACCACATTTATGTACATGTTTGTAATTATAAAGTGTCCATAATATTTTGTTTTTGCTTAATGAAAAACAGACTTCGAATAAAAGTCTGTTGTTATGTACTTCTGTTTTCATAAACCATGAAAATGTTCAATTAAATAAGCCATACTAAGGGCTGGAAACACAGATGTACTAACATTATGCTGAACTGGTACTGTATATTAAAAACAAAGGTCAGTTTAGGACATCCCATTGTTTGGAGCCCTCTGAGATTTACTTAGATGAACTTAAGTGGGCCAAACAATTGACATATTAAACAGACAGAAGCTTAGATTAGAGAAAGCAATAAAAAAACTAAACAAAACAAAACTAACAAACAAAAAAAACATTATAAATGAGGAATGGATAGAGAGCTAAAGTAAAACTCTGGTCACCAACACAACTTAAAGTGACACTACACTGCCTAAACAATAAAAAATTAAAATTCATTTTTAGTAGATATGCATGCATTTACTTATGATTTTTTTCACTGGGGGTATGTCCAGTGATGTATTAACCGTGAGGCTAACAAGGCATTTCCTTGGGTGGCACTTTCCAGGGGGCAGCAAAAAATAATGCCCAGGCTGATGCCTTGTTAGCCTTATTTTAAGGGGGCCCAAGAGCTGGACCGCTGGCCACCTTTGGGCCCCCCTGGCAGGTGGCTAGTGGAGCTCCAGGCAGCACACCGCAGGGATGCCGGAGAGCCGGAATATTACATCCAGTTGGAAGTGACACTGGAGGAGCTGGAACAGCATTGAGTTTGATACCCTCTATAACTGTTCCTGCAGGTCTGCTATTATGGCTAACTGGAATATAGAGGACATTGGCCAAGGCTCTCACAGCCATCGTATTCTAACTCAGAAATTCACATTATAAGAGCTGGGAATAGGCACTACCTAGTGGTCAGGCACCTACAGGTACCTACTCTGCTTAAAAGGAAATCTGGCCCTGGGCCCTGTGATTCCTAGTTACTGGTAAGATGCAAGCCAACCTTCTTGGATTTGCACAACACAGGCCTCATACTTTGCTTACAAAAATGTAAAATGGTTTGCTGTTTGCTGTAGTAACTCTGCACCGTTAGCCACGCCTCCCCTTTTTTTCCTTTTAATTCTGCCAGGACAGTAATTTCTGGTAAAACACTACAAAAATGTAATTTCCAACTTCTATAGAATTTTTGTTGATGTATTTTAGTTATAAAGCTGTATGAATAAGAAAATGTACTTTACTCCTCTAATGGCATAACCCAAGATAAAAATGCAGGAGTCAAATATCCAAAGTGTATCCTAGACCAAACATTCTCAAAGCAGCAACTGTGAATAAAAAGTGCAACAATACTAAAAAGTGTCAGGATCAAGGGAACACACATTCTTCAGTCAATTATCAGGAAACGGGCTCTAATTAGAGACAAGTCTCCTAAATCGTTAATATTTGTCAGATTTAACAGTCCATCGGCAGAAATGTTCCCCTTGGTTTATACAAAGTGTAATTATATTCAAATAGTCAATCCTAAAGAGATTAAATTATTGTTTACTAGACTTTCAATTAAACACGTCAAATTATGTCCTCTTGGAGCACCCCAGTAGAAGGAGTTTATTAAAGCCAGAAACTGTGTGGGAAGAAACAACTTGGTGAAAAAAACTAATCTGTCATCAAAAGAAGAATGCAGTTTAATCAATAGTTTAATCAATAGTAACTATGAGTAGCACTTACAAGGGGATAAGCCAGACATTTCAGACTTCAAAAAGTCTTTACTCATAGGCATGCTTATTAAAATACAAAAATATGGCCTAGACTAGAATGTTACTTTAAGATTTAAGTGAAGTATACATTAATTGTGAAGACTATGTTTAAAGTTTTATCATGGCTATTTGATGATAATTTGATGATTATAAGGATATTCATCTACCTACAAAGTGAGGGGGGTGCAACACAGAAAATGATTAATACTTAATGTGAGACTTCTTGATCAGTATGCAAAATAGACATAGCATAATTTAGCTGGGCTCTGAAGATTGTGAGTGACCCATTACCTCTATTATAGATCAATTGTTAATTTAAACAGTATTATATGTCTATTTTGTATACTGTTTTTTACAGAATGATCAAGAGGTCTCACATTGTTTAGTATTAATCATTTTCTGTGTTGCACCCCCCTCACTTTGTTGTTTGTATTGTCTAACTATCTAGTGTCCTTTGAAGTGATTTGTAGACTCTAGGGGTTGTTGCTACAATTTTCTCATATTTTATTCAGCG